ATAATATAGAAATATAATAATATACCGGGTGGACATCTCGAATAGATGGGCTGCTGCATGTGACCTCCGTGGTGGCCGCCTCCTCCACCTCCACCGCCGCCGAGTCCGTGGTGCGGATAATAACAGTACGGGTAATAGTGGTGAGCGTACGTCGGCGGGGCAACGAGCGCCACTCGGTCTGTGAAACAAACGAAAACGGTACAGATAAATAATGATAATGTTGTGATTATTGTACTATTATTATGTAGACGAGATAGTTGATGAAATTTAAATTGCCACCGCCTTTACTATACGTCTTACTGCACATCTGCTCGGGCGGGCATACATTATTATGTTATATTATTATATTATAATAATTACGAATAAATATGCTWATAATATTATAATTATACGACGTACGATTTTCACGTACATTATAAATAATATTTATATTTGTTTTCGTGAAATGCTAATTATTGTTAATGCGTAATATCAGATAGGCAGATGCGATGTATTTTTTTTTCGTCTTAGAGAAATCGTTTTCAGGTGTACTCAACTATGTTTTCACTTTTTGTCTTTTATTTAGTTTCATATTCATCTGGCATAGAATTTTGTACATTTGTCATTCGATCTGGACTCTGGATCGAAATCGCGAGCGACGTAGGTAGTGTAGGAAAATATGTGAAAAGAACCATGTTTTAAAGAATGCCTTTAAATGTGTTATTAATTTATACCACTACAATTTATAAAATGGTCGAAAGGTTGTACCTATACACTTGTACGAATTGACGGAGCGATACATCCAATTCACACATAACCACTATTATATAGGTAGGAATACATGTGATACACGGATACACCTATGCCATATACAGGGTGATTCTTTTATCAAACAACACTTATATGGTGTTTGTGTGTAAATGCCACCTAACATACACCTATAACACACAAACACCACCCAACTTTGGGAGGTTATATCTCTTAAACGGATTAACGAAAAATGAAAATTTAAAYGTGAAAATTCATTGAAAAAATAGCCTTTTTAGTTTATGAAATTTTAAGTAAAGGTTGTCATTTGAAAATCAAAAGTTGATAATAGTTAACCTGATAAATATAAGGGTGAAAATATTAAAAAAAATATATAGTTCTAGAACAAGATGGTTCTAAAATGTTGAAAAAAAAAATAAATAGTTTTTGAAATAATGAGTGATGGTTGATAAAAGAATCGCCCTGTATAATATATTAATATGGATGAAGTATGTTTTTTAATATTGAGGTATAATTTAGTGGTTAGGTATCATTATAATTTGATATTTATAACACGTTTATGTTTATTTGGTGAATGGTAATAGTATGGTGTACTGGTAGTACTAATGGTGTACCCATTTAAAATATTATAATATAACTATGTAAGTAGATGACATCTTCCACCTACACAGTGTAATCGATTATAGCAAAATTAATAAAACGTGTTTTTATTTTATCAAAACGTTAAAATCTAATGGTAAATTAAATATAGGTATGATACCCATACCTAATAGCTTTATATATTATGATTTATATAATAAAATTAATAACTTGGTAGTTGAATATTGTCATATTACACGTTATTTGTTAGGTACCTATAAATCATAAATGTGCACAAATTATAGCTGGCGAATTTATCTTTAGGTACGTCTGTTTGTATACAGTCATACGGAAGATTACACGAGGCGATTATATTATCACAGAAATTCGATATAGGTATTCCTACAACCAGGCACTAACTAGGAGGGAAAGCGGCCAATGGTGCGCGTTCCCAATGCCTTCAATGTTATGGGGCCCTTCAGCTCAATTCCAATGCCATAGAAAATAAATTAAAAAAATATATTAAATATTTAAGTATTTTTTTGCCACGCGGTGTGTACCCGATAATATTTGTTTTCTCTATCAGACTTATGCGCAACATAGATCAAACTCTTTTACCTAAGATTGTTTTTATGATTTTTGAGTAACCTTAAGGTAATCCTTAAGCCTAAGGATCACTTATTACAAAAATGATATAAGATATAATATTTTTTAGGGTATGGCAACAGTACATAATATGCAAACATATCAGTTTTATATTTTATTATAATTTGACTTCGCATTAGACTTAGGAATGTCGAGTAAATAATATAATATATATGAATATGTGATATCGAAAAAAATAAATAKATATTGAACCGACTTGACCGAGACCGAGAAGTCGAAATGAACAAATTGTGAAGCCCGGAATACTGGTTTACCAGGTTTAAGCCCCGACACCCTGTATTAAGTGCATGTACTGTTAATATTATGGGTCGTAAATATTGTAATAATTATATGATCGCAGGTGGGTTTTACTATTGTAAGAATACATGCAACAAATTTCACACGTTTGTCGTCGGAATTTATCAAACAGTACCTAACCCAAGTCACATATTGTACGAGCGATAATGATGGTTCGCTCCAATAAATCGTAAATATACCGAACCGGTTGGTATGSGCGATTTAATGATTCCGGAACAAACTCATTCGTTTGACAAACGTCGTGACACCACACGTCATACGCGTTAAATAAATAATTATTATTGTTTTTGTCTCTTGGTCCCCTTTCCGTGTTCCCGATTACCCCCTCCWCGCAGTAGACGTGGATAATAATTATATTACATATTATATCACGTTGAAACATCAAAATAGCAAAGTCGATGATGTRTTATAATTCTATACTGCGTTTTGCACTTTTGTTAATATAATATTAGAGGTACCTACATAGTTTGACATCGATACATCGTCGTCGATACGACATAAAATGATTTAATATTCCGTTTGCCTCTCACATGCACTGAATAAACTCGGGTTTATTCCATTGTAATACCTAAGTACAGATGTGCGAAAACCGTTAGCCGGAAAACAATATTCTTCACTTTGTTTCCAACACTGTTAAGACTAAATTGTTGTACACTTGTACCTATATAATATCTATCTTAGTATTTAGGTATTGATTTAAACAAATAGTTATTATAAACGTTAATCACAATGTTAATTTTTTAACTCAACAATATTATCATTTTTATACTCATTTGCAGGTATAATTTGATTAGTATTAACTAAATGTATTTTACTCTCTTCAAACAAAATTCGTTCTCTTCTTAATATCGTAATCAGTTATATTTTGTACGGCGCGTCAGAATAATTAGCCTTAATTATCCTAATTCCCAACATTCATTTCCCAATTAACAATTTWTTATAAGGAAAATATTTTGTTTAGGAACGTCTTTCAAACGTAAAAATTATTGAAAACCTTCAATTGATATGATACACGTTGCACAAAATATACTTAAACAACACATTATGATATTATCAAAATATTGTTTAAGTGATTTAAGGAACAAATAACAACGCATTATAGTTAAACTATTTAAGCGTGAATTAAAAGCGTTTGAATCTATCTAAAAAATAAATACACAAAAATATACAATAATTCAA